AGCTCTCAAACACTAACTAAAGAGCCTCACTAACCACTAAACATGACTCTTGCTTGTCCTCAAAACTAGCTACACTAAAGGGCCAAGCTACACTAAGAAATGTAAATGCGCGAGAAGGAAGGAGTGTTATACCGTCGTGTAGAGGAATGAGCCAATCGCCAAAGGAGCCAATCAATCACAAGAATGAATACCAATGAAGACCAATCACCTCGGGATCAAATGATGGCACAATGATTTTTTACCGAGGTTCACTTGCTTGCTGGCAAGCTAGTCCTCGTTGTGGCAATTCACTCATTTGGAGGTTCACGCGCTAATTAGCATCACGCGCCAAACCCTCAATAGGGTGCCGCACAACCAACACAAGATGAGGATCACACAAGCCATGCGCAATCCACTAGAGTTTCCTTCCGTGATCTCCCACGGGGAAGGCACAAGAACCCCTCACAATGTCAACGATCGGAGCCGGCAACAATCACCAGGCCGTCTAGGTGCCGTCAAACACCAAGAGTAACAAGAACTCCACCAGCCCAAATCGCCCAACTAGTGCCACAAGATGCTAGAACACTAAGCAATGCACTAGAGGCTCTCCAATCTCACTCAAGATGATGAAATCAAGTGTGCAAGTGAGTGAAGTGGTGTGCTCAGCTCTCAAAGAGTGTATACAGCTATTAGAAGTGCCAAGAGAGTGGCCAAGGCTGGCCACTAGCTCTATTTATAAGCCCACAAGCAAATAGAGCCGTTACCCCTTTGGAGCAGCCTTCTGCGAGGGCACCAGACACGGCGGTGCTTGGCACCGGACATGCCGGTTCCCCTCCCAATGGTCACTTTTCAACGGCTATAAACTAGCTATTGGGGCACCGGATAGGGTGGCGGTGGCACCGCCCTTAGGGTGGCGGTGACCACCCGACCATCTACCCGAATACCCCCTTCTCTGGACTTTTATGGCGGTGCACCGCCATCAGGGCGGCGGTGCCCAACAGCCCTTCCCTTGCTCTCTAGATAAAAGAGGCGGTGCCACCGCCCCACCAACAGCGATAACTAGGCGGTGCCCCGCCCTCTCCATGGCGGTGAACTCTGGACGCACCGGTGCCCACGCCTCCACTGCTGCTCTCGGCCAGAGTCCAGGTGGGCACCGCCCTCTAGGGGTGGCGGTGCCACCAGATAGGGTGGCGGCCCCCCTAGGGCAGCCCGCTGTTCTCATCCTCCCAGCTGGTCACTGCCACAGGGGTGGCGGTGCCCCAGTGGCAGCACCCCAAGCCAAGTTTTTCCTCCATTTCTTCACCTTTCTCATCACCTTTGCAAATGTGCTAACACTCCAAGTGTTTCACCATCACGTGCAAGTGTGTTAGCATTTTCACAAACATTTTTCAAAGGTTATTCACTTCTCACTGATTGTGCACTAGGCCTAAAATGCAATGCAAGTATTTCAACACCTAGTGGCACTAGATGATCAAGTTGTCCGATAAGAGCTCCTCTCTTCATAGTACGACCATCTATCCTAAATATGATCACACTCTCTATACTGTCTCGATCACCGAAAACAAAATGGTCCTATAGATATCACCTTTGCCTTAAGCCTATTTTGTTTTTCTCTTTCTTCTTTTCCATGTCCAGAGCTTGATCACCTCCATCACATGTCCACCAACAACACCATGGACTTCATCTTGCTCCACCACTTGGATTGGACCATCCTATCTAGTCACACACTTAGATGCAAGGATTAGTCCAAATAGGTTTCATCAATTAGCCAAAATCAAACTAAGGCTTTCATCCTCCATGAACGGCTCTAGGAACACATCTATATCATTGCCTGGTTACTTCGGTCCAGAAATAATCATGGTTAGTAAAAGATACCTACGCTTTTGACATAGCTAGGGAGGTAGGTTGTAGATGGTGAGGATGACCGGCCAAGTGCTGTGCGAGCTGCTGAGGTCACCAAATGGATTCATCCCATCGATACGCAGCGCGAACCTGACGTTCCTCACCTCGTCACCAAACTCTAGGAACTTGTCGTTGAAATGCTTCCAGCCCTTGCCATCGGCAGGGTGTCATAGCTTGCCATCGCCCTTCGTGTGCTCATCAGATGCATGAAATGACATCAGCTTGGCATCCTCGGGGTTCTTGAATATAGCACGCAGGCGATCGATCATGGGCAGGTACCACATCTACAGGGCCAGACTTTTTCTCTACGTGTAACCTTCTTCTTCGTTGTCCTTAGTAGACGGGATCTGCTTCTTCGCGGTACTCTTCTTGGCTATCTTCTTCTTTGGCCCTCTCGAGGCTCCCCCGTCGTCCGTGTCCATGCGACAACCGGCATTCCTCTTGTACCGACTCGCGTCACAGTGCGGACAGCTCTGCAAGTTCTCATACTTGCCCCGATATAGGATATAGTGGTTAGGGCAGGCATGGAACTTTTTAAGCTTCATCACCACTGGTTGGATTAGCTTCTTCGCCCGGTAGGTATTGGTGGGCACCTTGTTACCCTCTGGGTATGTGTCAGCAAGGATACGTAACAGGTCGTTGAAGCTAGTGTCGGACCAGCCATGGCGAACCTTCAGCATCAGCATCTAGAGGTTAAAATGCAGCGCCATCTAGTGCTTCGGACAATTCTTATAGAGGGGATCAATTGTTGCTTGCTTCACCTCTCTGGAATTCTCCAGCCACCTCGGGGTCCCAAACAGAACATCGTCGTAGCCAAGATGGTTAGCAAGTTCCTAAAAAAGCTCCACATCCTCGGTCTCCATCACACCAGCTGGCTCATCGCCATCCCCATCGCCACCGTCGACATCGGCCATGTATTGGAGCAGATCATCCATCGTGATGTAATCACGGTCTACATTGTCACCAATAGCATTGCCCTGCCCACGCGGCCGCTGTTGATGAGGGTTGCTGTTCTGCATTCACCACCACCACCGTTGTCGATGAGTTTCCTCCAAATGCACCGGCACTCGGATACTCTGCTTTCCTGTGAAACTTCTAGACGGTGTAATCCTTGACGAAACCATATCAGACATGTTCCAAGTATGAAGCATCCAACCTCGATGTCTTGTACATCCATTCCCTGTCCAAGATCCCGAACCTTGCACACACAAACAGCGAAAATGGTGCATATAAGTAGAGCAGTATGGAAAAAATGCAGTCGGGTAGTTCTAGACCTGATTTTATCTCTCCTCCATATGGATCTAGATCTAGATCTAGAGAAAAAACAACCAAATCATGGCAAAGAGAGACGATTGAGGGCGAGAATCAACCTCTTGCGGTGCCCCCCTTCAACAAATCCAAGGGCAAAACCTCTCCCCTAGAAAATAGCCACTTTTGGGGGGTTTTAGGTCAAAACCCGAAAACATGGAGGAGCCGTGGGGAAGAAGGGTGGTTGTGGATGCATTTATAGCCCATACTTAACCGATGCGGGCATTATAAGGAAACCGCCTCTATTAATCGCCTGTTAACCGAGGCGGTTGCTATGCCTCAGTTGATGAATTAACCGAGACGGTTGCCCTAAGCCAACCGCCTCGGTTAATATGCATTAACCGAGGCGGTTTCGTTACATTGCCCGCCTCGGTTAAGTATTAACCGAGGCGGTTGCTAGCCCGGCCGCCTGCATCGAATAACCGAGGCGGGCAACCATGCCGCCCGCCTCGGAGCCCTATTTGGAAATGCCGCGCAAAAGATTATGTGTAGTAGTGACTAATTGTTAACCAAGAAAATTCTTATGTCATATTGCTGCCTAGATGAATATAAATTATTACTTACAGCTGGTTTGGCCATCACATAAATAATGTCCAACAAAGAGCTAAAATAAGGAACCTGCAATATAGGTAAAAGGTGAATGCAGCAACCTTTCATGGTTACACCAAGTAAGCCCATCAGCGAACGTGCAACATTTTCCACTTAGAACAGCAATCAATAGTTAAGGTAAGCTTGAGTTTAATACATACCCACCAAGCCCATGCAACACCATAAAGCAAAGCCTGAAAAAATAATTTAAGAAATAGTGTGTAAATTTTGTAGATTAATGCACACTCAATGGAAGTTCAGTAGGATAACTCACATAAGCAATAGATGTGAGTAGTGAAAGACATACGATTCCTTTATCTCCAATTTTGTGGCTAATAAATGGAAGGATCAAGCTCTGCAATTTGAGTAACATTATTAAAAAACCCACAATTAAAAAAGCTTGAACCTAAGCCATTGAAGATCTTCATTTAAAGTGGTTAAGACTTTTTAAAGGAGCACCTGAGAAAAGATTGATCCAATGCCTACCACCATTAGAATTTCTGAGAACTGATCCTATTGAAGCCAAATACTGACTTTAAGTAATACTACTAGGAAAAGAAAGGTGAAATTAAGTGCCGTATAACATTAAATAACATATCATATGGTAGCAGTGAGAGATATTATCACCAATTGGACATCGCTAATGCCTTTAATACCCAATTTATAGAAGAAGGAAACATACGCGGTTCGCCTGAGTAGTTCACTATAAACAAACAATAAAAAGAAAATTTCAACAAAATGAGTAGGGACAACTCCTGCTGGCTTTAAACTAGCCAAGGTCATTGTATCAAAGGTTCTCATTAGAAACATTGTATCAAAGGTCTCAATTATGTGATAGTTCCCTACCTTTTTAATCCTTTTAATATTGACATAACATTTCACTCAAATTCTAAAACTATAAAACATTCTCAATTTATTACTAAGTACTCCATGTCTTTATATAAGGTGCTTATGTATTTTCAAGGTTCAAGATTAGTGACCTTTGACAGCTTATTTAGCCAAACAATTGTAGTTTTTTTTTACAAAAATAATGTAACTAAATTTGTATTTAGAAGTATTTTTCTGTTATCATGTATTTTTGTCATGAATAGTGTATCATCCACATAATTCCACAATAAATAGGACGGAACCCTTGCTTTAGGATATTACAAGAAATTTTACAAATCTCTTGCTCCTTTAACTCTTTAACCTAGCTAAGTGATGTACTATATGCAAAGGTTTACCTGTTTTTAAATATGCTAATGTTCTCCTTGATAGATTCCCAACGTTGTTTCGGTAAACTTACAATCAAAGATGACAACGGCATGTACATGTGGTGACAAGGTGAAGAAGGAGCTCTTTGAACTGTCTCAATGAGATATATTTTCATGTAGAGGACAGAAAATGTCAACAAAATAACCGACACCTAAAAGATCATGATATAGAGCTTGTGCGTTAGCTTCCAGATAGTCGATAATGCTGACGCAACTACAAATAGTTTGCATTTCAACTAGCGATACCTGAAAAATCCACTTCTCGGGCAGAAACCTTGAAAACATATCCCCCAGAGCATTTGAACCGGAGACGATTCCAGTCAAGATGCCAAACGCAGCCACCCTCTTTGATGGCTCAATCACATCTCCCTATAATAGCAGAAACACTATATGTCCATTGTCACAAAATGATGAATAAATGTACCATAAGAAAACTTCCACTTTATTACATTAATTATTTTCAAAAATACCTGAAACAATCAGTACTACAAAAAAAAAATTGTACAGGCAATTGGTAACCCCTTTGAATAAGCATATATCCAACCGTCTGTAACCTAAGGCCTGTAGAAATCAGTGGATTTACAAAGCGAAAAGTGGAAAACCGACTATAAAAATCCTGTAAAAAAGCACAAAAATTGAAAAAAGGTCTGCACCCTTGTCGACTCTAATGGCCAATAGCATGGTTGTGCGGCATTTTTTTTTTGCAAAGTATGCCCGCATGAGGTTACTAGGATTTAAATGCATGACCTTCCCCCTTGGGTGATCCCTTCTTGCTATCAAACCACAGAATTGTTGCTACCCATAATAGGTTGTAACACCCTAAAAATTTGCTCCTTTCAAAAAAAAAATTGATTTAATTTTGTATTTTGTGCTCATGAAATATTGGAAAAAGAATATTTTTTATTATATTAAAATTCATCATAAGGAGTAGCAACATGGGTGTGCATTGCATTTGATTTATTGCAATGAGTGGTTGAATCTAAAATTCAAAATGAATTCAAAATGCTTTTGAAAATGAATTTGAAAATGGCTTTAAAGTAAAAGGAAAGAAAGATAAAAGAGGATTGGGACATAAAAGAGTTTTAAAAGTTGCAAAGTTTATTTTTGAAAACCTACCAAAAGTTCTTATCCTATTTTTAATTGAAAGTATATTTGAAATAAAATTTGAATTGAATTTGGATTTGAAAATGTGTTTAAGAAAATAACAAGGAATTTCTTTTTCCTCCCTCTCCCTTCCTGGCTTTCTGGCCTGCTCGGCCTTGCTTTCCCGCGCGGCCCAGCTCCGTTCTCCAATTCCGCCCGGCCCAGTAGCGCCAGCGCCCCGCAGACCAGTTTCCTTTCCTCGCAGCCCAGCCGCCAGCGGCCCAGCCAGCCCACGCTGGGACGCGCCGTGCCTCCGTGCGCCGTCGCTGACAGCCCGGGTCTAGCCGCTAGTGTCGTCTCCTTCCTCACCGTCTTTCTCGCGACGTCACCGGGTGGGACTCCGCCGCCACCGCCAAGGAGTCCACGCTGCCCACACTACCGCGCCTTGCCATGCGCTCCACGCCAACCGCCCCCTTAAATAGGAGCTCCTGAGCCACGCCGCCCCCCGCATAACCCTAGCTCGCTCTGCCTCACGTCTAGAGCAGCAGCGCCGCCACGTAACCCTAGCCACGCCTCGTCGTCCGCCGTCGAGCACCGTGCGCCACCTCCGTTCGCTCCGCGCCACTGAAATCCACCTTGGTGAGTTCGCATCGCCGCCCTCTATCTTTCTGTGTTATTCCTGGGTCTAGCCATGGCCTCTAGGGCCGTTTTCGCGATCTCCGGCGAAGCGCTCGCCGCCGACAATGGCATCCCACCGCGCTCGGTCCTGTTTTGGCCAGCCAGCCATGCCATTCCTCTCCTATCCGTCAGATCTGCGATCAACGATCCAGATTAGAACATACCGATTTGGTTGGCTTATTTGCTAAAGAGACCCTCGGTTTTTGAATAATCGAACCCGCCGTCCCTGTTGTTTTTCTAAAGAGCCCCTACACTTTTTTGTATTAGAACCCACAGTCCATGACATATTCCCTGAATACGCTTTCTTCTTTTGAAAACATAGTTTCTTCGGATTAGATTCAAAATACGTTTTCAGCTATTTATAGTTTTGCCACTAGTTTTCTTTAGGCCATAACTTTCACGTTTTAGCTCCGATTTGACCCATTCAACTTGCGTTAGGTTCGTAATTCCATAATTTACATATTCATACTACAGTTAGATATGTTTTTAACTTATAAAATTTGAGGTTAGATTTAATCTATTATTTTATTAAAGAAAATATTGTTTAATTCATATCTTCTACGTTTTAGCTCTGATTTGACCTGTTCAAGTTGCGCTAGATTCATTACAACAAAATCTACGCATTAGTATCAATGTTTTCCATATCAGGAGTCCTAGAATCTCATGGTTTAATGCCTAACTTGAATAATGATTATGCAATTGGATTTTTCTAATTAAAAGTAACTTTGGCTTTTCACCGTGTCAATTATATGATTAGTTTTACCTTGTTTTTTTAAATCAAGTATAATTTGACTAAACTCAATTGAGGTATTTCTTTGAAGTATCTTATACATGTTTTATATAGCCAAAATAAATAAAGCCTATAGTTTCTTTTTAAAAGTAAATCTATCGGTAGGTGTATCTTTTCACCGTAGCTCCGATTAGCGTGCTTTTTGCGTCTGTGTGTTCGTAGCTACGTGTAGAACATCTTTAAAACCTTTTTACTTGCTGTTTATTATGGTTGGTGTACTGTTCTAATTTAGATATATTGTTTGCTTCGTGTATGATTGCATGGATGCTTGTGTGGTGCTTTATGATCATGTCCAGTCGGTGAGCTTTGCGTTGGTGATATAAAAGAAGTTGGTGACCCAGAAGAAGTCCTTTGGAGGTTACAATTCAATAGAAGAAGGATCTTAGTTTAAGGCAAGTATAGCATGGGATCTTCCTTGTTGTGCTATACACCTTTAATCATTTAATTCATATTACATGTGTCTACCTTGACTGCCACTAAGGATTTCCTAGTGCTTTATTACCTATGGGGTATTGCATTGGGTAGTATAATGCTAGTGCTCAACTAAAGCCATGATCTTGTAACTTGACTAATGGTATATGCAATAAACATTAAAAGATGCTTTTTAGCAACATGGAACTAGGAGGCTAGAGCATTGGGCTGTTTTTATGGTGCTCTAGATTCCTCTCGCTAATGACTTATCTGTAAGCGAATATCTGGGACTTACAGTACAACTGTGAGGGCTATATGGCTCTGGCTTTAGCTCAGTATGAGGACCTTTTTCTAGCTTGTTAGAGGTTACCTTTATTGACGTAAGAATGGCTTGCCGAATCGTGTATAGGACAGCCTCTGTCCCCTTGTGTATAGGCTGCGTGTCATTGTGCCATCGGGAAGGGAGGTTCCTACATCTGTTTGACGAGTGAATCTAATAGCTCTAACTTGGTAGACGAACCTTTGAAAGGCTTCATAGTGAACCCTACCGACCTTCCTTGGAAGTGGGTCAAGAGATTATCTACCTTGGGCGAAAGGGTAAATCACGACTCACAGTGAAAGTGTACAACCTCTGTTGAGTGTAAAACTGGTATATCAGTCATGCTCATGGTCATGAGCGGCCTTGGACCATTTACGGAATAGATGATGAACACTGATGATTCTGATGATAAAGATGCTCACTAATGAATAATGTTTATGCTATTCAATATTCATGTTTACCTGATCATGTGTTTATATGGGCTTGTGATAAACTTGTTGCTACTCCTATGCTAAAATTGTGACAATTAAAAGCTAATCGCAGTTAACCAGTATCATCCTTTTGAGACTCATGAACCCCATGTTATTTTTGTTGAGTACGACATGTACTTACGCTTGCTTTATTTTTCACATATTTGGAAAAAATCCTGGTTGGGTACTAGATTGCTAGAGTTTAGAGGGATTAGGCTTATGATCAACCAGTCAGTTGTCCCTGTGGAAGTAGAGTCTTCACCTGAAGATCAGAGTTGTCTTTCTGTTGTCCATACTCTGAGGTTGTGTTCTTTATACTAATACGCTATGTAATAAGCATTGTCTTATGATATTACCCTTATTTGTAGCTATATGTGAGATTTGACTTCCTAGGCTCACATATAGTATGTATTTGATTTTGTTCTTAAAATCGGATGCTACAAAGTAGTATTAGAGCAATACTGACTGTAGGATGCAAGCCTAGTAGAAACATGTCATTTTAAGGTTTAGAAGTTGCAACAAAAACCCTTGCTCTATGAACCTTGATATTTTCTTCTCTACTATATCTCTACCCGTGTTATTCATCTCTACCTTGGTGCTTATTTTAAAGTCTTTGTTCTCATCTTCACTCCTTGATTTGATATGCCTTTAGAACTGTCCCTCATCACATTCTTGCGTAATCTAAAGATGAGTCTTAGGATTGTTACCCCTAGTACAATGAGGATGATAGTATCGCAAGATGAGTCAATGATTGAGTTGTGTACCCTTATTGCTTTGTTGAATTGTCATTATGCTTATGCTTGCTTTGAATCTTTGTAATGGTTGCAATGATCTTGTTGGGCGTTCCCACAATTTCATTTAGTTTATAGGCCTAAGGTATAAGGATTAATGGAATAAATAGTTGGGTTATGGTTTTCTTCTGTTTTCTCTATCCTGTCTTTGGGAGCAACCTGCCCTCTTCGGCTTATGTCTCTAACTTTGGATGATCAAAAATCATGAGAAAATTTTGGACAATAGTGGACTTCGATATCTTTCTCTGACCACAAGAATAACCCTGATAGCTATTTTGGTTATGGAGTTATGAAAATCACAAGACGATGTACCTGTGCTGTTTAAAAGCTAGAGTAGTTTCTATTGTGCACTGTTTTTGACTACCTAAACTGCAGAATTTGGAAAAGTATTCTATAAGAAAGTTGTGGAGGATTTGATAAGCTTTGCAACAGTATAAGCTACAACTTCATTGGATTAACAGAATGAGAGTTATGGCTGTTTTACTGCACTACTGTTTTTTATCCCGCGAGGAATTTCAGATTTCTTGCTCTTGCTCATACATGAGAGTATCATTGGGATGTCAGAACGTCTTGATACTAGTTAGCTCATTTGGAAGAAGGTGAAAGCTACCCTTTTTGTGTCTCTAGCTGATCTTTTCTTAAGGGGGTAGCCAAGTTGAAGAACTTGCAAGATGAAGTATCATACGTTCTAGTTTGCGAAGCGGAAGCGTGGGGGGCCCATAACCCATAGGACCCAGGATCGAAACCTTTGGAGGAGATCAATAAGATAGATGATCATGCCTAAGCAAACTATTCAACTAAGAAGGGTCCGAATGCTCAAGGTGTCA